AATTATGTTTCTATATATAATTTCTAATTATTAATGTTGTCCTAAAATTGCCAAGTGGCTACATTTTAGCTTGCCACTTGGCTTAACCACAATGCATACTACTCTCCTTTTAATATAATACAGATAATTTCTAATTATTAATGTTGTCCTAAAATTGCCAAGCGGCTTCATTTTAGCTTGCTACTTGGCTTAACCACAATGCATATTACTCTCCTTTTAATATAATATATATATATATATATACTTATCCAAAGTTATGGTTCAAATGAACCCATATACTTTAGGCTACATTTGCCTGCGAATCATTGTACATTAGTACGTCCGTATTAATTTATGTGATACTGATCAGAGTATGTAAACTTTGACTAATATTTTAAAATATTTTTTATCATTTTAATATAAGAAAAATTATAACTTGTAGTATTTTTTTTAAATAATTTTGAGATATTTAAATTCTAATTTTAAAATATTAAATTAATCTACTTCGAGGAATAGTCAAATTAATTCACATAATTTGAGAGGGAAGGTGTACTTATTTTGGCTTTCTTTCTCCAAAAGGATTTGACTGGTGAACTGTTCCTTTGACCCCAACAAGACCACCCAAATAACTGTATTTCCAGATAAAAAATCAATGCGTGCATTTTAAGGAAGTGCTATTAAACAGGACACGAGCTAATGATAACGCTATGATCACGCGGATGCGTTAGATATTTAGAAATTGGAGTTTAAATTTCCCGCAATGATTATATAACTCGATCTTTTATAATATAATATAATTACAATATTGAGTTAATCTAACTCGATTTAGCTTCAAAGATTAGTCAATTAACTTTTAAAAAACGAAAAGGTTCACATAAATTAAAACGAGGAAAATAACTATGATGTAGAAAAAAAGAATAAATAACTAATAAATATAGTAATTGATAACTTCATATAAATTGTAAGTTATAACTAATATTCTATCACATGTTAAATTGCGCAATAGTTGTAAAAAAAATCTTTACATTGTCACAAATATAACTAAAACCCTTAGAAATTAATTTGAAATTTTAATCTTCTAGTTAATTGTAGGTTAAATATCATTCTCGAAAATTGGAGAAGTGTTTGAGACTGAACATTAAAATTTATGCTTGTATTGGATGCAAAGAAATAAAGAAAATGGCGGGAAGAAACTAAAAAAGAAAAAAAAGAAATTGATGAACGTGTAGAATTTTATGGGACATGGTCTAATAGTTGTGACTTGTGAGCATAGTGGAGCAGTTTCCAACTACATTATATTAAAAGCTGCTTCTCATCTTATTCCTTAATTTCAATTATCACCTTTATCCTAAATTAATCACTCAATATTATATATAAAAAAAATTACCAACTTTATTTCATCATCCTATTCCTCGTGACCCCCAAGAATCTTATTCTTTCTTTTACTTTCTCTTTTAGCTGCTATAATCACAGAAAACACACAGTGCAGCCTCTGAATGTCATTTTCTTTGCCATTTAAGGTTATTTGTACCTTGTATCATACAGTTCCTGCATTTTAAACCATCAACTTCTTTTCTTGGGACTTTGTTGTCATGTTTTATATATTTTTTGGGTGGAGAAAAGCTACTAAATGGTTGGTATAACTGCTGTTTCTTCTTCTTCTTCTTCTTCTTCTTCTGTTCTTGATGCCAAAGAAATGAGTTAAATTAAGCTTATTTTACTTCATTTGTTATTTTACTGTGGCAGTAAAGATTTGATTAAGAGGGTTAAGTGCCGGCTTAAGCTGCTGAAAAACAAGAGAAGTTGCATTATCAGACAGTTGAGGGATGATTTAGGGGAGCTACTCAGACATGGGCATTACCAAATTGTTTTTGACAGGGTACAAGCTATGAATTTTTAAGAGAGTTACTCATGGTTTTTTTAACGTATCCGCTGCTAGATTATTGGAATTTTTTGACAATATTAAACTTGCAGAATTTCAGTGTTTTGTTGGTTTCTTGAATTTTCAGGTTGAGCAGCTTTATATGGATGATAATATGTTGGTAGTGTATGAGTTATTGGAGAATTTCTGTGATTTTATCCTCATGAATCTTTCATACATCCGTAGACACAAGTAAGAAATTAATAGCATTTAAATGTACCTCAATCCCTATATTTCATGCCTAATTAATTTGGTATCATAGCCTAAGTTGCTTCGACACGGCAGTTTAGGTGCCGAGTCATGTCGACACGACATTTTAGGTGCCGAGCCGTGTCGACACGATACTAGTATGGGTGTTGGTATGGGATCAGCACCGGATGTGATCTAACACTTTTGGGTACTTTTACCACGACGGAAACAAAATGCGGGACGAGATACAATTTGATTCTCGAAACCAGAACCAAAACTAGGGTAAATTTGAAGAAAATAGCATACCTTGTCTAGGAAATCAATCATTTATTTATCTACAACTTGAGAATAAAAATAAAATCCACACTTTACAAGCTATATGTAAGTATTCTACAAAATTTCTCATAATTTAGAGATATTTTTGTACTTTTATTTTCTTGAATTATTTTTAGCTGGATCCTCGCACCCGTATCCGCACTAGAATCTGTGTCTCCGAATTTAGAATTGACTATCTCGAAGGATCCGACCTCTAGATCCGCACCTGCGTCGGACACCCACACCCATATTCAAGCAACTTAGATTATAGCAAGTTATTAATCCACTAATAAATTAGCATGGACGATCACTTGTAGTTATATTTTAGGTGATGAATGTATAGAAGTTAATCTCAATAAATTTTGTCTTCTCTGCTTTGTTTCAGGGACTGTCCAAATGACATCAAAGAAGCAGTGTCAAGTCTCATATTTGTATCAGCAAGAATTGGAGATTTACCAGAGCTTTTAGTGATCAGGAAGCTCTTTGGCGAGCGTTATGGGAAGAAATTTGAAACATCTGCCCTCGAATTACTTCCTGGCAATCTTGTGAATCATCAGGTTTGCATGTCCACATTTTACAAACGGTTAATTTGTTGCAAACTAGAAAGTAAATCAAGGTTATTAACTTAATTTATTTTTTTGGTTACAGTTAAAAGAGAACATGTGCAGAAAGTCTGCTTCAAATGAAGTGAAATACAGATTGGTGGATGAAATAGCAAGGACTTGCTTTCGACGAGGACCTTTGCTTCTTGAATACAGAAATGAATCACAGCATGAGATGGTAATTAACGAGCAAGAAAAAGTTTCAAATTCTGCTCGGTCTAGTGTTTCGTTCCAATCTGCAATTTCTAGTCCTGAGCCTGTAAAAAAAACCGATTCTTGGAAGACCAATAGCTTCACTTTGGGGCAGAAGAGAGAGAGAAGAGATATCGAAAGTTCAGCTCAATTAGACAAGGAGATGATATACTTGGATGATATTGAGGAATTTGAGACTATTTTGAATTTCCAAGATCAGAGGCTATTCATATTCAAAGGACCTCTCTTTCCCTTGATGTTAAAGATAGATACTGATTGGAATATGAATATTTTTCCTGCCCAAAAGCCAAGATTTGTCGCTATAAAGGATGCATCAGTAAAGGATCAAGAATGTTGTTCCTTTACATTCTCATTATCATCAGAAATGACTGATCTAAGATCAAGAAATGAAAATCAGCAGCCTTATTTGAGGACAATTACTATGCCAACTGAAAGGCCTAAACATAATCTCGCGAACAACTTCCTTCGATCAAATTCATTTCCATTTCAAGAGTCCGGAAAAGGATCACCTATGAATAGTCATGTACATCCTAAGCTCCCGGATTATGATGAATTAGCAGCTAAGTTCATTGCTCTTAAGAAAGACAAACTGCAAAAAAACTTAATTGCTTTACCACCGGAATGAGTCCATCTTCACTCTACATCAGGCAGGAGTAGATTTGAGTGTTTTTTTTTGTTTTATTCTTTATTCATTAGAGTAGCATAAGAAATGCGTTGCGCATGGAGATTTAAGAGAGATGGAAAGAATGTGATTTGTGTTTTTTCTTTCTTTGTATTTTTCTGATAAGGGTTTCACATAAAGTGAAACATTGTTAGTAATTTTTCCGCCAAGGTTTCACTTAAGCCTGTGAATATATGAGTTGAAAATTCAGAATTTAGAATCATTAAGTTGAAGTACAGTAGTTGGATCTTTGTTATTACACGTTGTACCATTGCCTTAGTACGTTATTGTTGCTATTGTTTGTGTATTGCTTCATTTCCACTAATCTTGAGCCGATGGTCTTTTGGACACAACCTCTCTACCTTCATAAGTTAGGAGTAAGGTTTGCGTACACATTATTCTTCCGAGACCCCACTTATATAATTTCACTAGGTTTTTTATTGTTGTTAGGTTGAAGTAATATATTTACGTCTTTTGATTTTTTTTCCTCGCACGTTTATGTATGGTTCGAGTGGTAAATAATAGGTTCAATTATAATTTTCATAATTGAGAATGTAACCGTTTTGGAGAGAGGAAGTGGCCTTACCCCTTAACTTAAATTCCAAATAAGTTCATTTAAGCCAACCAAATATGAAAAAATTAGAAAATATAATTTCTTTGGTACCAAACACCCCTTTTGTGCCTTCTCTAATCTCATAGAGTATTATATTTGCTTACGGAGAGTGCGAAAGATATTTATAAAATGAGTTCACAAAAGTAAATCATTACTAGGAGTCTATATTAAGTACTACATATATTAGTAACCTAAAGAAAAGAGTGATTTTGTAAAGTCCTTAGTTACTATTAGGGGTGTGCATTCGAATCGGTTTATCGATAAATCGAATTGATTATTTGTTATCGAAATCGAAATCGAAATCGAAAAAATCGAAACCTTATTGAAACGATAACGATAAGCATATGTACAAATCGATAATCGATAAATAATTATCGATAAGGGTCAAAATCGAATCGATAAATCGAATGCACACCCCTAGACTGTAGACACTTGTTAAATGAGTATTACCTATTTGTGTAGATTAATATAACATACAGAATGTATATATATTCCGCTACTATTTTGAAAGCGGCTATACAATATTATTTTCCCTAATCTATACCCTTTCCTTTACCCTAAGCCCCTTACCCTATTATTTCTTCTACCACATTTAAGGAATGATCATATTTAAAGATCAAGGGAATGAAGTTCAAATTAATGGAAAACAGAATTAGCCGTGATGATGTGTTTTTTTTTAATTTTTTTATACCGTTGGAGTGTTGGTGGCATACATTTGATCCCTTACTTTAGTTTTGTTGCATGTGCTTGTTGACACAATTTTTATATTATAAATGGTGTTCGTCTTATTTTAGCTTCTTTTTGTCCATATTAGTTAGGCGCGTTTATAGCGATATACTTTCCGTGGAATCCCGCAAATTTTCTTATTGGTGTAATCGATAACCGAATCGATAAGCCCCCAAAATCGATAAATCGAAATCGAAAAAATCGAAACCTTATTGAAACGATAACGATAAGCATATGTACAAATTGATAATCGATAAGTAATTATCGATAAGGGTCAAAATCGAATCGATAAATCGAATGCACACCCCTAGTTACTATTATGTGTGTTTACTTTACTACATAAGCCACCGCTTTAGGCCCCAAAATTTTGGGGGCCCCAATTTTTGTTTCCCAATTCTTATTTGATGTCTGATATTTAATTTGGGGCATTGATTAATTCAAATTCATATCGTGCAAAGTCCATTAAAGTGGAGCTGTTCCTTATAAGGGGTTTTTTTTTCATTCCAAATACTGAAACCGAATACTTCCGATTAAAGAAGGAGATATGCTATCCATCCCACCGCAACTCTTCTCGTGAGGCCCCAAATCTTTTTAAGAGAATATCAAGTATTTCAAAGTAGAAAAGTAAAATATTTTATATAAAAAAAGGATTACATTAATCATTAGAAAATATGTAATACACTTTTAAACTCTATTTTTTCCTCAGGTTTTTATCATTGCAATAAGTATATTGAAACATCAAAAAGTTCTTTTAATACAAAGCTATCAACTTCTTGAATCATGTTCTATTGCTTAAGATCATACTGCACATGAGAGATTAAATGGTTTATGCGAAAAATTTTAAGTAATTTTATTCTCAAAAAGCTAGAAAAATCTACTTCTAACTAAAAATATATATGTGTTAAGAAATGTAGCTCAAAGTAACAATATAAAACAAGTAGATAAGTAGAATAAGATAAGAAGAGATAACTTTCTTATTTCGTCAAGTGTTCAAGTGTTTTCCATCTCACATTTCATGCCACTATTTATACTAGGGAAAAAGGCCATTATTGCCCCTGTACTTTTGAAATTCATGCACGTTCGTCCCCCGTTAGACTTTACGTTCAATCTCCACCTTACCGATAATAAAGTTTATGCAATTACCTCTAACCCTAACGCCCCGTCCAAGTGGCAGCTGACCCCATCTCTTTTTTCCAACTCAGCTGCCAACTCAGCTGCCAATTGGACTTCCATTAATTTATTAGCCCCAAACCCAAGGACCAAATCTGATTGACCCAAACCCACTCCCAAATCTTATTGACCCATAACCAAAAATCCACCAAATAAATAGATTTAACCTGTCTGAAAATACCTTATTCACCTCATTTGCTCGAACCTTCTGGTACTTCAAAGAAAAAGAGAGAAACCAAACCGGTCAGGATCCTTGCTTCCAGTGGCGATTTCAAGCAAGGTAAGCAATTTTTCTCCAAAAACTTGATTTTTCTGTTAGTTTAATCTCTTATCTTGAGTTATCCCAAAAAAATTTCGGAAGAAAGTTTTACTGGCTTTTCGAATCCCTTTCATATTTGTTCTTTGTTGGTTAGGGTTTTCATAAACCCTGTTCTTTTTCAATTATTTGAAGTTGATAGGTGTTTGTAGTTGTCATAGGGTTTCTATTTTTTTTAATTTTGTATTTATTGAAGTTAGGGTTTACTGAATAGTTCTTTGTTGGTTAGGGTTTTCACTTCTCCTATCTTTGACGATAATTTCAAGCTGGTAGTGTGTGTTTTGCTTTTGTATTCACTTGCATGTGGTTTTACAGTAATAAACCCTAATTTTACTCTTTTTGTTTGCATGTGCCTCATCTGGTATTGAATAGCCTTTTGGTGGTTCAGGATTTCGATTTTAATATTTTGTGGTCCCAACTTCTTTTGTTTTATTTGTAGAAAATAAGTGAATCAGAATTTTAATATTGAAGGGTGGGGCTGGGACACTTTATTCAGAGTAATACTTTAATGTATGGTCCCCCATATCCATGGCTGCATATATTATTTTATTAATGTTGACTGAATTATTCAATTTGTGGCGGATTCTATTTTATTATCTTTATGTCTTTATGCCTTTATTTATATCTTTTTCCCTATTAATTTTAACTGTCTTTACTCTGCAGTTTACTATCAATTGTCCTGCTGGATTTGGTCTTTCATCATGGTGGAGAGTGGGTCAAGAAACCACTCATAGCATACTCAAGAAAATTTCGGCACATTAAGAAAAGTTTTGACTCTGACTTGCTTTCCTATAATGATTTAGTGGATGAATATGTTTCTAACTTGGGGTATATAGGAGTCCAACAACTAATAGTTAATGGTCCTTCTGGTTCATATTATGAAATAGAAGGTGATTTTGGCATTAGGACTTTACTGGACTTTGTGAATGACCAGTTTAATGTTATTAACATATTTGCTGTAGAGGAATATGAGCCAAGCATTAATGTACCTAATATAATCCATCACAATGAGCATGATGAACCTGATGAACTTGAAGCTGCCACTGATTGTGAGGAAAGTGATACTTGTGATGACAATGAAAATGTTGTTTTTTCTAACTATGAGTGTGATACACTAGAGAAACTTTTTAAACAAAAGAAGAGAGACATTAATGATAAATTAACTGACTATAAAGAGTTGGATAGGTCAATGACATTCAAAGATATTGTTGAAGCTAGAAAAGTTATAAATATGTATGCACTTGCAAATGGTTATGGGTTAAAGCAAGTTAAAAGTGACCCAACTAGGCTTAGGTACATTTATGAAGCTGGCTGCCCGTTTGTATGTCACATATCTAGGAATGCTTCAGGGGGTGGGGCTCAATTCAGGACTTTACATTCTGAGCACACTTGTGAACCTGCATATGAGAATCATAGGGTTAATTTCAAGACCATTGCTGAATACTTCAAGAGAGGGTTACAAGAAAATTCAAACATTAAGGTTAGAGAGATGAGGGCAAGCTTGAAGGCTGCATTTAATGTAAATGTTAGTGAGTCAAAGTGTAAGAGGGAAAAAAGATTGATTTTGGAGAATCTGGAAGGTAGTTTTACTGATGAATATAATAAGTTAGTTGTATATGTTAATGAATTGAAGTTTAGTAATTCTGAAAGTGATGTAGTAGTTAACTTGTCAAAGGATGCTCTTGCTGAAGGCAAGAGAAGGTTCCTAAGGATGTACATATATTTTCATGGAATGAAGGTGGGGTTTAAGATTGGGTTGAGGCCCTTTATAGGGTTGGATGAAACTTTTTTGAAAGGGAAAGTTAAGGGTCAACTCTTAATGGCAGTTGGTCAAGACTCTGCAAACCACTTTTATCCATTAGCTGGGGCTATTGTGGATAAAGAAACAAAAGTCACATGGAAGTGGTTTTTAACTCTTCCGCAAATGTCTTTGGACCTTAAGATGGGTGAAGGAATCACTTTCATCTCGGATATACAAAAGGTATGAACACTTTACTTTATTATTTTATTATTTTTCCAATCTGTACATATAGATTCTCATACTTCTTCTTTCCTTTATATGTAGGGGCTGATTGATTCAATCTCAGGAGTGCTTCCTGAGGCACACCTGTCGATGCCCCCTTTTTCTTCTTAAAGGCGAAATCGGGTTTACGATATTTGGGAGGACAACTCTTTTCCCTTTTGGGATTTGGGTTTTGTTTTGGAATTTGAAGAGTCGCCACCTAATGATTAAGTGCATTAGGACACAAAAAAAGGGTTTTTGAGTTTGAAAACCAGAGTTTGGGTAAGGGCTAGAAATTATCTCGAGGGGAAGGTGTTAGGCACCCCCCAATATCCACTAGTGTGGTTCCCGGTCATGTTACAATTGTGACTTCACTTAACAAGTAAGCAAATAAGGGTTC